ATGCTGACGGAGGCGGGCAACCCGTCATCGCCCCACGAGGAATCCCCTGGGATTTTACCTTTTAATGAGATGTTAGGCCCAGGATGTGTTTGCATCATCAAGATAAGGGTTTAGATTTTGACCTTGCAAGACCAGGGTGCAGATGCCACCTGGCCGATGATGGGTTTGGCAGAGCTATAAAAGATGACCTGTCTCGTATGCACCGTCACTGGGGACCAGAGGGACTGTGCCTCGAAGGGTGTTATGGGACAGCACCATCACCAAAAAGTTCTGGGGGAAGCTTGGGAGTTCGGAGGTCTGTGTGGGAGGGGCAGGGGTGGCCTGAAATGCAAGAAGGAGTGTGGTAGCTGACTCCAGCACAGACGCCAAGCAGGCATCACCCACCTTCCCCCACAGAATCAGTTCTTTCCTGCCCTTCACTCCTCTGACTTATCAGTGTTTCTGACACCGCAGGTACCACCACACTGCTTCATAATTGTTTATCGGTCTCCTTTCTAGCTGCCTCCGGGGCAAAGACTATATTTTATTTGTCTTTGATTCCTTAGTATTTTGTGCGGTATCTGACAAAAGCAATCTCTCAATCGATATTCACGTAAACAAAAGTCTCAGCAGAGTAAGAATCATGTCAGCTAAGGAAGGGAGGGAATGGCTGAGACTGCAGATGCCTGAATCCAAGCAGACGGGGCGGCATATAGGGCTGGGGAATTCTGGGTGTACTGATAAGAGCAATTACCTACTAAACATTTTACTCTTTTCTAGGCATTGCCAGTGGTAATGTTTGAATAAACAGAGAACACAGTTTCATTTTCACAAATCAACTCGTGCCTAAAGAAAATAATTCTGATGTATATACTATTTATCAACTCCATTTTACAAATGAATAAAGAAATAGGCACAGAGAGGCTGGGTAACTTATCCAAGGTCACACAGCTAATAAGTAGAAGAGCTATGATTTGAACCTGGGCAATCTAGCTCTGGCACTCATTTTCTTCACCACTTCCCTGTATCCAAGAAGAGTAACACTGGAGGCCGCCACTGCATTCTGCTGGTTTGTGAGCTAGATTCAGACGCCGCACGAGGTTACTGCATGCTACTGGCCCTGCAGGTGAACCTCACCCTCTGACTAAAGCGGGGACAGCTCCAGACCTGGGTAGTAAATCTCAAACTTTAATGTGCCTTTGAATGACCTGGGGATTTTTTTCAAATGCAGATTACTAGGCCTAACGGCCAGCATGCTTAGTTAGAAGTGTCGGGGTCTGAGTTAAGATATGATATTATCCCAGACAGAAAAAGTTGAAAATCACATGATATCACGTATATGTGGGGTATAAACCTAAAAGCAACAAAGAAACAGGACAAACAAACAGAGACTCATGGACGTGGACTATGGACTAGTGGTTGCCAGAGGGTAGGGGGTGGAGGAGGAGGGGGGAGGTAGGCAGGGTAAAGGGGGTCAAATATATGGTAGCTGAAGGAGACTGGAACTTGGGTGGTAAACACAATAGAATATATAGATATCAAATTACAATGTACACCTAAAAATTATATAATTGTATTAACCAGTATTACCCCAATAAACTTAATTGAAAAAAAGATATGATATTATCCTCTCACCCCCATATACCGAACCACTTTAGAGATAAGATAAAGGAATGTCACCCTATTTTACTCAGCAATCAGGTACCTCTTCCCCCACCCATGGGGCAGAGAACTGACTGGGACAAGAAGCCAGGAAATCCTTCCTTCTCGAAACCAGACAGGTAGAGGAAAGCAGCCTCCTGGTCACCATTAACTTCTCTTTGAGGCCCAGGCACCTGCGCTTGTAACAAGAACCCCGGTGTTTTTGACGCCGAAGGCCCTCACACCACATTTAGAGAAACAAAGTTCTCGGATGATTCGATTGTTGTGTTAGAAGACTTCCAAAGAAGACTGCACGGATGGGCTCACAGTCTTTCAGGAGCTTACAGCTCAGACGGTGATATTTAAAAATAGCTATCACTGACATCGTGCTTGGTATGCGTCAGCCCCGATCCTAAGTACGTAACGCACAGAAGTCATCGAAACAGGTGAAGTCACAAACAGCCATTAGAATTAGATCCTGAGGCAGAGAGAGGTCTAGTAATTTTCTCAAGGCTGCACAGCTAGAACCAGGCAGTCTGACTCGTCTACACTCTTCACCTCTGGCTGTACTGTGTGCAGGTTCCCCAGGTCTGCATGCAGACCTCTTGGGAGTGGGGGTACGCTGAGCTCAGGGGGAGTCACAAAGCCACGTGCCAAACCCAGCTGCGACCATTTTAATCATCGCAGAGCAATTAATGACTCCATCTAAAAAAGGCAAAATGAAGTAGCTGTTTGTTATTTTGCTTTCTCAAGCAATGGATATTAAAATGACAGCCACCATTTGCTAATTAAGGATTTTATTTTCTTAACCTCAAAGATGGCTGTCATACGTGAAAGGGCTACGTGCCACCGTCAGAAGAAATGCAGCCTGCAGCCCAGGTGCAAATCGAGAGAAGGAGAATTTGTATAGTATTCTCTGAGATAATATGACTTCAAGTTAACCATGCAAATTACTCCCCTGGAGATTAAGACTTGAGTTCAAGCCTTCAGTAGAGCAACTGATTGATGTAAAGGATGCGTCTAGGCGCCGCCTCCCCATTTTTGCAGTTTTTCGAGCAGGTGAGGAAGATGCCAGAGTTCCCAGAGCCGAGTGGGGAATGTGTCCATGTTGGTGAATGGAGAGAGGGGGAAATGCTTCGTACCTTCAGAAAAGTGGGCACGTTGATACGCTAGCATTAGTGGTCTCCAAATCAGGAGAGATTTACCCACCAGACATCATTTATTTAGCAGACATTTTTAGTACCTATTGTGTGTTAGCTACTACGTAGTCCTTGTCCTTGGACTAATGCCAGAGATGGATCTTTACAGATGAGGTGCTGGGGGTGTGCCTGGATATCACCCACTCTAGCCTCTAGAGGGCACAAGTCAGCTGATGCCACCCATCTCATGCAGGAGTGAAGCTAAAGTGATCATTCAGAATGGAGGGTATTCATAGGCGTCTTCTTCTGGGCGTGGGCCCCAGAGGATTATGGGTGAGGGTTGGCAGGGCCAAGGGCAATTGCTGTGTGAATGCTGTGTGAGCAAGACAGCGGTGAGAACACAAGCGACAAAAGTGCACAATCGTGTGCCGGGAATGAACCGAGTAGACTGAGGCAGAACACAACACCTGGAATGCCAGAATATAAAACTCGGACTTTCAGGTAGCTGAAGATTACCTTACCTGAAATTCGGATGGCCACCCTAAATTCACTGAAAGATCATTCTCCTTTTGGCATTTCTGAGCGTATGATGCTTTCATCATGGCAAAAACAAACAAGCAAGCAAAAGAACATCGTATCGCCAACTTGGGGCCGTTAGTAATTATGAACCAGCTCCCCCAAAGACCCCACGTCCCGTCTGCATCACGACCCCTGTGCGAGGTTATTAAACGGGCTCTATGACGAGGTCACAGCCTCAGGACTTGGCACACAGCCTTCTGAGCGGCAGGCACCGTGCCTTCCAGATCTGACTATTTTGCACGAATGCCACAGGCTTGTTGTGTGTGGAATTGATTGGCTCTTGCACTTCCTAAATTGGCGATATGTTTTTCTGAGGGATTCTACAAGTTTTGGATGTAATCATATACATTGACAGAGTGGGTGGTAGTGTTTTTCTCATGCCTCTAATTTATGTATTTGTGCCGGCGTGTTGATTTAGATAGGAGCTCGATAAATCGATCAAATAAATTATACGAAACCCACACACCGTCATTTCAAGGAGCTGTCATCACACTGAGGAGGTTCTATATCACCCAGCATGCTGTTCCGGGAAAAACACTGTGTTTTCCTAACGTGCTGCTGGGCTTTCATTTAGTTAGGAAGGTCTTGATTTCTGAGATCGGCCAACAATATGAGGATTGTAGCTCCAGAAGGCATCAGTTAGCTGTGGAAGACTGATCATTAGCTATGTGATCTTTAGCAATTTATTTATACTTTCTAAGCATCAGTTTCTCTTTTCTATAAAGTAAGGATTTGCAATCCTATCGTAACCCTTTGTCATAAAGGGAAGCAATAACGCATTGAGATCGTGGAAAGAATCTGGGCATCAGACAAATAAGAGAAATAAGAGAACTATATGGTGACTTCATCTCTGGTTGTGCAAATCGTGGTCCTATGTGAGCCAGTTTCCTAGTGTATAAAATAGTATTGCTACTAATTCCATGAGAATATCGTCTGCGTGGCATGATAGAGCTCTCTCATGCGAGGCAACTGGATCCGATGCCTGAACCACCATTCTTAGAAGGCCCAGGGATTCACTCTGGGGACAGAGAAGCAATAATTCCTCTGTAAAACACTCCTGAATTGATGTGATGTTGACATGATGCTTGTTGCCACAAGATAAAGTGACTGAGTAGGTGGCCAAAAAGTGGCTCTTCTCTGGGTTCTCATCTCATCTAACAAGGCTTGTTTCTCCCTCTCTGATAGAAGAAAATTAGCTCAGCTCATGCCTAGAAATCCAGGAAATTAGTGTGCAATGGGAAATATTAGGACCGGAACTCTTGAGGAGTAGTATGGCAGTCCATAAATAGATGCTGCAAGAGAGAAGGGATGGATGGATGGATGGATGGATGGATGGATGGATGGATGGATGGATGGATGGATGGATGGATGGATGGATGGTTGGGGAGTCTGGCTTTATCATAGATTAACTATGTCACCGTGGGCAAGTTAACTACTCTGGGCGGCCTTCATTTCTTCTTCATAAAATGGAGTAACAAAAGCAGATGGGCTGCCCGAGTGTGAGAATTAAATATGTTTCTATAAGTTAAGCACTTCCGTCAGAGTCCGGCACTTATTAAAAGCTCCCAAAAATGAGAGCTACTGCTATGATTCGCCGCCACGCCATCTCCCTGTCAGTACCCACTGACCCGCTAAGACCTTTGCCTTCTTTGTGCTTCACAGGTCAGCAGGTCCTGGGCTTGGTAGAGAATCAGAGCGACTGGTACCTTGGAAACCTGTGGAAGAATCACCGCCCTTGGCCTGCCCTTGGGAGGGGCTACAACACAGGTAAGTTATGGGGGCAGCAGGGTGGGATGGGGGTTACAAAGGGCTCTGTGAGGACTCACGCTTCTTCCTCAAGGGGGAGAGGTAAGCCAAAGCACGGGAGAAGGCCACCTGGTCGCCTGAGGGCTGCAGTGGACGGTACAGAGGCAGGTAGCTTTCCAGTTCTTTCTGAGTGCTGCAGCTACAGGCAAAGTCGCCATCAGGCCTTGGCAGTCGTCTGGCGGTCTCACTGAAAAGCCACTCTCCTGACTGACCTTCACACGAGAGGACGAGTATGGCCTGTGGGCTCCTTGGCTCCGTTAATACAGACGAGAGGTCATTCTGCAGTGACAAAGAACCTTGACATTTCAGTTTCTTAACACAGCAGGGACCCGTTTTCCTCACACCCCGTGTCCGTTTTACGTGTGCCGAGACCTGTGCTCACTGTGGACACTCGGGATTCGTCTGGATGCGCACTTCCTAGGTCAGGGAGGAAAAGAGCAGATGTCCTGTTGACTCTGGAAGTTTCTGGTCAGAAGTGATATGATTTTTGCTAGTATTTCATTGCCTAAAGCATGTCATGTGGCCATGCCTACCTTTAAGGGGTGCGGGCAAGCGTAACCTGACCGTGTGCCCAGGGGGAAAGGCGGAATGATTTGGTAGGTGGTGCTTGGTGGTTCCAAGGCCCTTAAACACCATGAGTCTAACCCCAAATCTGCTATTCCACCTCGTCGCTAACCCCAAACTTGCATCTCCTCTTTTCTTTCTATCTCTGTTAGTAGTATCATTCATTCACTCACTTGTTCTTTGTTCAGCTACTGTCTATGGAATGCTTACTGTGTACTAGGCTCAGTGCTAGGTGGGCCAGACACAGCCTGTGACCTCATGAAGCACATAAACAAGGAAACCGGAGCAGCCTGCCCCTCCTTAGGCTCAGGCCCTGCCACCTCTGGATCCTCCTGCCTCTTCCCCTCCGTCCTCTTTGCCACTGCTTTGGTACCCCGTTCTCAAAGGATGTGGACCCAGGATCTGTGTCGGGACTGGAACTTGGAGATCAGGGTGAAGTAGGGGGCATCAAGCCAAGAAGTGCAGGGACCTGGCATCTGAGACCGGCTGTCCTGAGTCAGGGCCAGTGTCTTCAGAGGATGGCGCCACCTCAAGGTGATGGGCGGAACCTGTCCTGGAGGCCACAGTGGGAAGGACCAGAGGGTCAACTCTGAGGACTGAGGGTCGGATTCAGAGAGGTCAGGTACAAACACAGGGCCCTAGAGGCCAGAGGGAAAAGCGTGAAAGTCAAGCCTCCAGAGGTGAGAGTTCAGGGGTGGGGTCCGAGTAGGGTCAAAGCTAGGCTAGGATAAGAAAAGAAAGGTCCTGAGTGTCCTGAGCAGCCAGAGGTGGCACTTAGGGATCGAAGGCCATTCTTTGACCTGGGGGCCATTCCTTTGCTGACATTTGCCAGAGGAACCAGGCATGCCTCACTCTCTGTCACTTTCCCCTGTGACACCTCCCAGGCGTTAGAGCCCCAGAAGTTATAAGTGAAGAATTTTAACCACCTGCCCTTTACACACTTTGAGAGGCTCCCCACTTGTGCTAGCATTAACTCTTTAGTTACAGGCTGCTGAGTCATTCCAGGGGGTCCTTGAGAGGGGGCCCAGGTTGGGGGAGGGGGCCGAAGGGGCTCAGAGCAGCGGCAGCCCGGTATTAGCCGACAGTCTGGAAGTATTTCGCGTTTTGATAATGGGTAGGGCGGTGCCTCTGCACCCAGCAGAGTACTGGCCACACACACACACACTATGCCACGGGCTTTCTGGGTGTGGATCTCATGAGACCCTCACACCAACCCCAGGAGCAGGTGCTGTTCTTATCTCTATTTTATACACAGGAAACTGAAGCTTAGGTAGAGTTTATGGATAGGTAGGGAGCCGGAGGTGTTTACTGACCTAACTTTCCTAGTTTGAATGAACTTCAGGGGCTCCAGGATCAAGAATACTTTTTAAAAATACATAAAATCCTAGGCTCTGCCCTTGAAGGGTCTTGCGAGAGGTTGCCCAGGATTCTGCCCTAAAAGAAGCCTCCGGGGTGTCTAAGGGTCTGCTCTGATAACAGTGGCAGTTTCACCTCCCAGCAAGCCTTCCGAGGGACTGTTCTAAGGGCATTTGAGACTGGACCCCTTAGGAACCCACAGTGGCCTCATAACAGGGGCCCCTTTTATCATTGTAAGCAAATGACCATCCCATGTCGATCTTTGGTGCCTGGATTCCAGCCAATTCACTCCAGACTTTTATAAAGCTGGAGAGACCCATGTTTGTTGGATGGGAGAAGGCAAAGCTCGGCTAAGCCCTGGTGTGTGTGTAGTTTCTGTCTCCCAGAACACAGAATAATAGAAAAGGTCACACACAGATATACTGTAGTGCTTCGAGGACACGGCGTCGGGGTCATGATCATCTGCATAAAGGAAAAATCATCGGTTATCAATTGGGGTTTGCAAGGAGAAGAAAAATGTTGCCCACTGGGGAATTTATTATGACAAAAAGGTCACGTCCCTTCCCACCCCTCCCAGTTTGCCTGAGAATGTGAAGTCAGGAGACATACACGTATCTAAACCGCATCTGGCTCCTACTTGCTATGCCAGGTCAGTGAATTACTTTCCTTCTTGCTGCTTCTGATAGGGCAGAGTAGATGGGGGAAAAGCCCTGTTAGAAGTGATGTGTCCATTTTAAATAAGCCAGTGACACCAAGCGATCGTTATAACAGGATTTATGTGACATCGAAATGGGTTGGCTTCCATCATGGCGATTTATTATTTTAAGACTAAGGGTGGTGCTTCCACATCCCTGATGCATCATCCGGACATTTAGATTCTCGTGGAAATTGAGCCCTAAATCCCATAGTATCTGAAGCCTCCAAAGGAGGCATCTCCAGCCAAGCTCGGTGTGAGCTTTGATGCTGGGAAACCGAGGCAGATCCGGTCTGAGTCGCAGTGCAGCCATCTTATCTCTGTGAGCTTGGCCACGTTCCTTCACTTACTCGAGCCTTAGTTCTCTCCCTCGTCAAATAGGATAATGACAGCACCGAGTGTGAGGATTAACCGGGAACTTGTTGAACGAGCCTAGTCTGGCATCAGGCACAACAAGTACTCAGGACATCTTGGTCTGTATCCTCTTGCATTTTTCTACTACTTATTCTGTCAGGGAATGGACTCCATCTGCTTTAAAAATGGTGGTTAGGTGACTGGCTGAGGTTTGCTAAGGTCTCCTGAGCACTCAGGTCAGAAAGAATCACTGTGATTTTTGCCTAGCAGTTTCTCTCCCTCCCTCCCTCTCTCCCTCCTTCTCCCTCCCTCCCTCCCTCTCTCCCTCCTTCTCCCTCCCCACTTCCTCCCTGTCCCTTCCCCTTTCCCGCCTCCAATATAGAAAAGGTCAGCTTTTCGTATTAATTTAGGGGAAAAAATGAAATAGTAGTTCATATACCAGCTTCCTGATTCTGTTTTACTTTGAAAACCCCTGGAAAAAGCATGAGACGTTTGAGTTGGGAGATCTGCCTTTAAGACCTGGCTGTGCTTTTGAACTCCTTGCCTTTAAGAAAGCTGCTTGAGCTCTCTGAGCCTTGGGTCCCTCTATAAACTGAGTGTGACCACTCTCTCCACACCCCACCCCCACACCAACTGTCCCCATGTAGCCACAGGGGTGGGGCCCGTCAACCAAAGTGCTGTAGGAAGCTGATTGTAGCTTTTGCCTCCCTGACCACGGACTGGCTGAGTAACTTCTTTCAGGTAATTTTGATTTGGCCACATCGATGGCGATCAGCAGCGTTCTCCAGGCACCACACCAGGCACCTTCCCGTGTTAATTCCTAGAATTATCTCATGAGTTGGCATTCCCCTAAGAGCCAGCCAGCTTACCCCTTCCTCTTTCCTTTCCCAGCCTGCTTGCACAAAGCCCACAGGGCCCTAAAAGGTTAGGGACAATCCGCCCATCGCCCATTTGCGCCCCCACACACAGTTTGTGACTTAATCCATCCTCACAGGGCTGCTAAGCCACACAGCTGTGGATGGACCCGCACATCCCAGCACCGGGCCCTCGTCATAACTGCTCAGGTGGGGTAGAGAGCAGCTCCCACTGAACCTGGCACAGAGACAGGTTCATTCCTGACCGTTCTCTCCAGTCATCCTGTCCTAAGTGCAAAGAGCTGTCATTCATCCAGCATTCAGCTGTCTGCAGGACTTTAAAAAAAAAAAAAGACAACAAGGTGATTACAGGCTCATTAAGATTCAGCCCACTTCGGTTCTTGCACTGCTGGTGGCTATTTAAAAACAAACACCAGCAAAGAGAAGGCGAAGGAGAACCAAAAGGAGCAGGTGACGAGAGAACGAGGTGAGGCAAAGTAGAAGGAAGATGGCAGGTGTATAGAGAGGTTTGTTTTGTAGGATCCCAAAGCATACTGAGAAGAGAGGGCGTGTCCTCCCCCGGGATGAAGGACATAATATGAACTAGAGGAAGTGCTTTAAGAAACAATTTAAAAATAAAATGTATCCTGTTCCTTTCAGTCCCCAAATTAGACCAGAGACAGGCACGTGAAGACCCAGCTTTCCAGGGACAGAGCAGGAATTCTTATTTCTCTAGGAATTCTTATCTGCAGAGCCACACAGTTGGGATATTCAAGGACGGACCCACCTCTGAGGTTGGAGCAAACGCTAGGGTCATGAAGGAGTAGACGGTGACACTCCATAAAGCCAGGCACCGTAGTGAATTCCAGGGCCGGGATTCAAAAGGAGCAAACATTTGACAACTTACCAGAGAACTGTTAAATGAATAACTTTAGTGTGACAACGCGAAGGGTGGAATGTAAGGCTGCCCTTCGCTCTGCCTCTGCCAGCCAGCGTTCCGCAGGCTTGGACATGTCCATTTATTTCTCTGAGTGCCCCCTGTCTCTTGGTTCAAGAACTAAGATCTCTTCTTAGTTCCTCATGCTCTAAGGAAATAACTGTGGTTGGATGATTTCTGTCTGTAATAATTACATCCAGAG